GTACAAATTAATGAGAAAACAAACCTAGTAAACTTGGAAATGTAATGCAATACAACACAGATAGTCGGCCAACACAACAATCAACACCCCACCTGGTTCATTAACGTTCTTCCAAAGATTGCTAAATTTGAGGGAGAGACAAAACATAGACACGGAGACACACAGACAGACACACAAGCAGAGAGAGACTCACACAGAAACGTAATAAACCAGGTGGGGTGTTGACTGTTGTGTTGGCCGACTCTCTGTGTTGTATCGCATCGTATTTCCAAGTTTACTGTTTGTTTTCTCATTCATTTGTACCTGATTATGGTTGCTTGCGTTGCAATCGAAACGTTATATTCTATTATTTAATTTCTTTCTACGTGACTTTAACGCCGAAATAAGTTTCGTTTTTTTTTGTCGGAACACTCGCAAATACCAACAGCAATCATCAACAACAAACACAACCCACACAAGCGGCGTCCCGCGATGTCCCGTAACGTTTGCAGTTGATAGGCGAGAGGGAGGAGCGTGTTGGTGTCATTTAAGGTGCGACAACACCGTTGACTGGCATTGGCCTGTCAAAGTAGCAGTGGCACCAGATGGCAGCATTTGCTGCCGCAATTGTGCTTCTTTTTGCGCCAGTGTGCAACATTTATAGGCTCAAACCCGACTCGTATTTTGACACGGTGACATCAGGTTGTTGTGTTTATGGGAACATAGAAACGGTAATCGAGGAGGCCCATTGCTTTAATAATTAAATACGTTCATTATTTAACTTACACCTTTGCGTATGCGATATAACACTGCATTGCACATTGTTCATGTCCATTTTTTTACAGCGTTACAGAGCGGTATATTTGAAGTGTTATAGAGTGGTATATTCGGCACACATTCGCGTGCAAGAGTTGCAATGTTACATCGGCATTCCGCAGTATCCTCTGCAATGGTTTAGGCTACTGTACCTTTGTACTCGTTGTGCATGTTCCATGAGAACATTACGTCATATCTATTTCACGTTTTTTTTTGTAACAAGATGAATGAGCACATTAGCGAAGCGAATTAATGTTGTAATTTCTCAATTCGCAGCAAAGTTGGCCATTCGCATTTGTAACGTTATATTTTGATATATATTTTTAAAAATCAGAGGTTCATTTGCATAACCTGTAGGGAAAAAATGTGCTGTGGATCCGTTAAAAAAAATACAACTTCATGCGTATACATTCTCAAAATTAGGTGTCTTTCAGCAAAGTGTGTTCAGTCATAGGTTTTTTGTAGGAACATATTTTCAGTATTTTTTCTGGAAGCGAAGCAATTTGTTAAACCCAGAGCAATAGAATATTACATTTGACACATTTTACACAACGTAACAGCAAAGTTTGCACCTGACTTCCTTCTTCATCCTCCGCCGCGATTCATCGATTAAACGCGCGCTTCCTTTTAAACACGTAGGTGAAACTTTTTGCGAGCATCCACGGTGATGTCATTCAACCTAGGTGAAGGCAAAGGCGCAGCCCTGCAATTCCCGTCTCATGCCACTGCCGGTGGAAGGACCTCGACCGGAAGGGTGCTCGAGAAATTCCCTCTGGGAGGGGCGGTGTATTTTCTCCTACTCCTCCACGCTGGCCAGGCATCTTGGAAGAGGCGGGAGCAACCGACACTTCACCCCGTGACACGTGACCTGCCAATCAACCGTTTGTGGCGTGCACATTGGTGATGGTGCGTTCACAGAGATGGGCGAAGCAGGGTTTAAAATACATTAATAAAAGTTGCCCATTGCTTTCATTGGCGCGCCAGGAGATTGAACCGGCGACCTCTGGATTGCAAGTCCACTGTGCTAATAACCATCGCGCAACGGCAGCATCCATGATACAACTATTTTGGGGATATTTGACACACACAAAAAAACACAAGTGGATTTTTTTTTCGTAAAATGTTTTAGAAATTGAGCCATAGATGCCCCGGGGTATTTGTAAGAATACAATACCTTGTGCCTTAAGGTGCCCGCTCAGGAATGTTGACATGCTTTGTTCTCTCAACAAAGTATTTGGGTTCACTGTATCATTTCACACGGCATATCTGCTCAAACACATGTTGCATTATGTTTCTTTCGCGAGGTAAACTAATAAACCAGTTTTAAAAAAATACTTTGAAAAGTCTTAGGTTTGTTTTTTCTGATTAGATGTGATTGGATTCAATACCGTTGAGATTTGATGGTGAAATTTGGCTTGCAGAAGTTCACACTGTGATTATAAGCAAAACATCAGAAATGGGAAAAAATTGGACGAAAGGAGTTTATGTTTTGAAACAATACATTAGGCATTTAATTAATGTATTGGTTGTGTTTGCATTTCGAACTGTAGGGGTGGCCCGTTTGTAGGCAGGTGAAATCACACAAGGCGTGTGTATGTTTTTTTTCCTCTCTCTCGTAAAGCTAACTTACATTTTTTAAATCCTAGTGTAAAAGTGGCAAGCCGGCATCTATCCATTTTACAAAGTACCAATCTCATAAAGTGCATTGGCGAGGGCCATATGTGCACATCAAAAATCCTGACCTGTCAAATTCGGGCTGAACACCCAGAGCCAGCGGGCATCCACCGCTCGCTGTATTAATCTGTCAGTTTTGTTGCGGCGGAGAAAGGAGTGGAATGGTGGTGGTGGTGGTTGGGGGGAAGGGGGATTGTGGGAAGAGAAATCAAAGGGATGCGAAGAAAACAACACAAAACACAGAACCTTTCACTGAAAACTCAACCCCCCAAGCTCCGGTTTTAAACTCCGCAGAGCTAAAAAAAAAAAACCGACTGTGCGATATCATTTATTTTTCCTGTTGCGACTGCTCAAATGAGCCCGTGAGTTTTTCCAGACTTCACTTTGAACCTGCTAATGCACAGCTTTTATCAGCAGCTTGATTTATTTATAACAAGTAACTACACCTGCAACGGATTTATTACGTTATGCCGATTGCCCTGAGAGTGTTTCCCCCCCCCCTCGGCTCCAGCGTGTAATTTTTTCAGCTTTTGTTTCCAAACGTTGTTTTTGAACCGCCTCGCAGCAGGTAACACAATACACGACCAAATTAGCTTCATTATATTATATATAATGTTTTCTTTTAATCAAGCTGTACTTCGTAAAACATCTGCGGGCTGAAAGGGAATCCAACAAAGACTTGTGGGGGGAAAAAAAATCAAACCACCATTTTTTTCCATTTCAATGCAACTATGCATTGTTTACATGACCACATTTGTGCTAGTAGTTAAGCCCTCGCCTCTCTCTTGCTTATTTATTTATCTAAGTAAATACTAAAAAAAAAGGAACAGTTTACAAAACGTTGAAGCGTGGACTTTGAGCGATCATTCGCACATGTGACGCGTTACGTAAAATTAACCTCGCAGCTGTAACCTTAACGAATATACTCACTTTAGTTTCGTCCGCGCGGCTTGATCGTGTTTGTCATTGGCTCAACAACAAAAAAAATTCTCCCGCGTAAGATTGTCGTACGCCTCGGCTTAGAAAAAAAAATAGAAGCCGGACAAACTTGCTGTTTATTTCCTTTAGAGGAGAGGAGAAGGGGTGGTGGTGGTGGAAGGAGAGAAATGAAAAATAAAAAAAATCTGTTTTTCTTTACTTTTTTCCTCTCTCGCTGTGTCTGCTCGGCTGGCGAGCTCGGGTTTACGTGGGGTCAAGACGCGAAAAGAATTCAGACGGCGTCTCGCGCACGGTGCATTACGGTAATCCTGTTGGGAAACTCCCCACAACTTTGCCACCCTCCTGCTCGCGCGCGCCTCTCTCTCTCTCTGTCTCTTTACTTTTGGAGACAAACCTTGCACCCACGATCAAGAAGGGGGTGTGTGGGGCGGGGGGGGGGGAGCGAGGTGGGGGGCTTGGCTGCATTTTGTGTTCCCTTGCCAGAGGACGCAGCACCCCTCCACCGCCCCCCCCACCCCCCAGCAAAACAAGTAACGCGAACCGCGCGATTTGTTTTAATTACGGAGAGCCTCGGTAGTGAGAGCGCGCGCGCAGGAACCCGCGCGCACGAGAGAAAAGGGGGAGCAAAAAAAATAATACTTCGTGAAATAAGTAGGTGATGGAGCGAGCTAGCTAGCAGCGAGTTTAGCTAGCGAGCAAATAATAAATAAAGTGAATAGAATACAGGAGGTGAGGGTGGGCTTGGAGTCGAGTGGAGGAGGGGAAAGAGAGCGAGGGAGGGGGGAGTGAGAGAGAAAAAAATCGCAGACCAGCAAGAGCAAGGGTGGACCAACTGCAGAGTAAATAATAGCACAAAATAGCTCGGCGCACGTAACACTGTAGCCAGCCACTCACTGTCAAGGCACAGGAGACGGCCGCGGGTTGTTCTCAGCTCGTCTCAGGCAAGGAGGGCTGCTGTTCAAATGGAAACGTGACGGACGTGACGGCAACAGAAAGTAAACGTAACAAAATAGAACTTCTTCAATAGGAGGTAAAATGTTGCGCGTGATAGTTTAAATATATGTATACGTAAAGTGGAGGAACGAACGAATAAAACACCGGAGGGGAGCGGAGCGAGCGACGAGTTAGTGGAGAGTGAGAGAGCGAGTGAGACAAAGCAAAGTTTCTATGACGCCGACCCACGGTGGTTCCTGTCTGGGTACCGGACTGACAGGAGGTAAGGAGCTAATTTCGTTTCGCCCGCCCGATTGCAATTACTCTGCTAGGCTGTTCGGGAAGTTGTGGTGGTCGCACCCAGCAAGGCTCGGCGCGCTGCTGCTACCGCTGCTGCGATGATGTTGGGGAGGTGGTGGTGGAGTTGGTGGGGTTGTTGGTCGGTGGCCCAGCCTGCGAACTTACTGATTGATTGAGAGCCCCTTTCAGAGTAAATGTGTGGCGGTGGCGGTGGGTGGGGAGGGGGCTTTTGTGACGGCCGTTCCGACGGGAGAGAGTAGATTGTCTGGACGGGCTTAAAAAGATTTTTTTTAAAAGTTGGTTGGTGGTGGTGGGGAAGCAGGAGGAGGGGTGGAGACAGCGGTGGGGCTTTTGTGGAGTTGCGTGTAAGCGTTTTCTGGCGAGTTTTAACAACAACAAAACACTAAAGTGTTATGATTTCTTAAATGTTATGAAATCTGAAATGTTTGGAGGGTGGTAGTTTTCCCTCCTGATTATTGTTATTAATGGCGATAATTTTTCTGACTATAGTTTTAATTACGGTAATCCATAATAGCAATCATTTAGGATGCCTCGTTTGTACGTTTTGTTTGCTTTTTTTAGTGTGAGCCAAAAACAAAAAAAAATATTTTGCATTGAAACCAGCCCGAGTGTAAATTCTGGTCACAATAGTTTCAGCTCCACGTCAAGCAATGCCCTGCGCAGTGCATTGTCTTGGTGTTGCACAAGACGCGTTCTGTTCAGGCAGAGTGGCAATTGTTGTATAGAAAGGGTTCAAATGTCTCTTGTGGGATAGTGAATCTAGTAACGGACTTCCCGCACAATAGCCTGCATTGCGCCCAGGCTCATGTGGCGTTAAGTGTTCCCAATCAGATAAATAAAATGCTCAGAGGCTCTCCCACATGCAGTCAACACCAGGTTATGAACCTCACAAAACTCAGACGTGTAGAAGCAATGTTTTTTTTTAGTTATCCATTCATTCCGCCAAAGATGGAAGTCTTTAAATGTACAATTGTAGATTTTTTTATTTTACGTGTGCGTCTGTAAGTATTGCTTTTCAAGGGCCTGGTTTGTTTTACATTTTTTTGTGTTCTCAAAAGAACCCCTCCGGTCTATTGTTGCAGAGTTTTTAATCAGAATTGACTTCTCGCTGTTACGGGGTTTTTTTTCTCCCTTTGCAAAACCAGTTTAGTCAGTCTTGAGCCGAGTCAGTCAGAGGGGTGTGAGGCACGGGTGTCGGACAGACGATCTTCTGGGGCGGTTGAGTAAGCCATGAAGGTCATTTCCAGCTCGTGATGCATAAAAAATAATCAACTCTGTCGCCCACCGCACAAAGTCGGGCAGGATTTATACGGCGCGGCTGCTCGTACAGTAATTGTTTCATTCTCATTTGCCTAGTCATGGCTTTTTTTTTCTTGACAAACCCGAGGACGCCCGTTGTTCAATGCGTGCGTGCGATAAATTTCCATCTTTGCGCCACTATTTCGCCGTCGCTGCAGTTCGGGTGGTAAGGCGAGGCCCGTCCGTGTCGGCGCGCGCGGCAAACTTCTCCTCCTCCTCCTCGTTGTCGTCGTCGTCGTTGTTGTTCGCCCGCGGCACAGGGCTGGGGGCAAGCCCGGGTAAGGGGAGGAGAGCGAGCGATCTAGCGAGGCGCGTCCGGACTGACGGGCGCGAAGTGCGGGTTAAGGGGGGGTGGGGAGTGGAGTGGGGAGTGCGAGTAAAAATCAGGAGAGAAACGAAATAATATAATAATTAAATCGAAAACAAAAATTTGTTCTCGCTAAATAATTAAAGAAATACATAGAGCACCATTTAAAGCGATGGGCTAATTGTGGAGCGGGGGGGGGGGGTCGTTGGTGGGGGTGCGGCGTTGGCAGCGGCGCGCGCTTGCTGCTAATGGGCCAGATGTGATGAGCGTGTCGCGTCGGCAGATCGCCGAGGAAGCGATCTCTCTCAGGGCGCCGCAGCCGCCGTCTGGAGCCGCTGCCGAAGCAGCCGCCGCCACAGCCGCCGCAGACGCAGCCGCCGTTGGCCGTGGAGTTTTTGTTTTTGTTGTTGTTGAGTGAAATGTCGCTGAGCCTGACCTGGTGGGTAACGAGAGCTGAGGCGCGTTCCCAAGGCTGACGGAGCTCTTTCCTTCTTCCCTCCTCCCTGCCGCTACCGCAGCTCACGTGCGCACTCGTGCAGGTAATCGTTCCGCTTCGCCGAAAGTGTTTTTTTTGTATTCGGAGCGATACGGTGGCGAAGAGATAGAGAGAGAGACAGAGAAAACAAATGTTTTGGTAACTTTCGAAGCGGATTTTTTTTTTGCGTTTTGCGCGAGTGCACCGGGTTTTTTTGTGACTACATTTTTTTTTTAAAAAAATTGCGATTGGCATCTGGATACATTAACGGCGCTTAATTCGACGTGAATGGTTTTATTTTGAGGTTATTTTTTTTTTCATTTGCAATGAACGCTGCTAACATTTGTTAGCCGGAATTATTTATTGTAGCGCGGAATACGTCGCCGTATATTGACTGTATTTAAATTATTCCTTATTTTACATGACGCGCTTTAACGTGTTGCTAACCATTACATTTAATCGATCTATTTTAGATTAATCGAATTATATTTTGTTGAAATATTCCGGTGTAAGTTAGTCTATGTTTATTACAGTTATGAATCGGGCTATTTTAAATGTTTGTTAGGAAATAATTTAAATATCGGTCACAAAACCAAATGTGTAAATTCGAACATGCATACGGGCATATACTTCCCCTGTCTAAATTGTCAACGCATTTCAATTTTTTTCTAAAAATGACCCAGAAGGGAAAACACATTTAATGCAAACAAACAAACAAACGCAATTTGGCAAAACGTAAGCAGATAAGTACAATTTTTATTTATTTAAGAGATACGCTCTTAGCTCTTCAGCGCGTGCAACATTTAAAGGTGCACCCACGGTGGGCAGTTTTCTCGTTCGTCCTCATCTTTAATGCCGCTAATGAAGGACACGCGCGTGTGTGTGTGTGCGCGCGCATATATATACGTACAGCAATTCTTTTTTTTTGAGCGTATGTAGTTTGGCTCATTACGCAGCAAGTTTCGTTGCAAAGCGCCCCTGTCCCTGCCGTGTGCCGGCAGGCGAAGGTTCCCTGGGATTTGCTGTATGGGGACCGTCTTTCCCCACCCCATAATTAATACTCTTGGCTCATGAATGTGGCCCATCATTAGCTGGCACATAGGCCACTCCGCGGAAGCCTCCCAACACGCCAAAATCGAAAATCGTCCACATTGTTCTCAGAGGCTTAAGTCACACTGTCCCACACCTCTCTTTGCCGTGTCGGGGAAAAAAATGTATAGAATAAAGAAATGAGTACCTACCTCTGTGTTTCAGTAGCCACGCGTTCTTAGAAGCTCAACGCAACAAAAATGCCTTGGAAATGTAAATTTGATGTGTCTGCTGTGCAGAGCCATGTGTCGTTGGCTTCTGTTAAAAGTCACAATTACGTGAAGGTTCTTTTTTCCCCCCGACCGCGACAGAAGAAAAGAAAAGCGATACATTTAAGGCGTTCCATTTATTCACGTGTGTGTCTGCGTGCGCTTGCACGTATCCGTGCAGTCATAAGATAATTCGCTGCTCGAAACGAACATTGAGGGCGGTTCTCATCTTCTATTCACAGCCCTGAGGCAGTGGTGGAAATTCCACCTTCCTATGGCAGGGGGTGAGGGCGACAACACAGCGCATCCCACCCGTTGACTCTTCCACAAAGTGGTTCTACTTTTATCGACCCTCGAGGGACGATGGGCTGAGCCGCTCACTCGCTCTTCCACCGCTAAGCGCACCCAGCCAAATGCACGCAGAATCATTAACCTCTAATTAACACGCGTGTAAATTGCGTGCACATTGCAACGACACATGTTGTCACTTATGCCTCATTTGGGAATCGTCGTTAACGAACAACCCACTGTTGACTTCCCCACAAAGTGGTTATCTGTTGCCATATATACGTACATATGGTTGTATGAATGCACATGTGTGGTGTGTGTGTGTATATGTATATACACACACACACACCGCATATTTGCGATTCCTCATGATAAAATGTTTAAAAGCTGTGATTATAATTTGTAAAAAGTATCGTCATGTGACTTGCGCCTTGCTCGACCACGTGACGGCCTGAGTAGTGATTCAGGGTAACAGACTGACATCGGACATTCTCACGATTGTTTGATAGGATTTTGCATAATACTCGCACGCATTGTACGGTCAATCATATGTTTTTTTTTTATTTGAAGTTAAGGTGCGGAGTATAATTGAACGGTTGGTAGCAAGGAACACAACAAGTTGGAGGTGTCCGTACTGGGCCCGATGCCATCACATCCTCCTGCATTTTACACCCAACATAATTTGATAGTGACTAACGTACTATGGAAGTTTAGTTTTTTTAAGCTTATCGGTATACAGATCGGCTTGCTTTAAAATAAAATTTCCCGCCGCTTTTCAATTTGCGCAACTTGTTAATTTTAACGTCGCCTAAAAGTTTGTGTCTTAATTGTGATCGTTTACGAGTTACAAACAAAGCAAGAGGGGACACTTAATATCTTGACCGAGAAAGATTATCTAAAACTTAACAATCCTTTTTGTACAAAAGTCCCGAAATAATTTTAGTTGGCATACATTTTCAAAATTGTATGGGATCCTTCGTTTGCAATAGGTCTCCAGAGCATTTGGAAACCTTTAATCAACTGTCATTGGCAGGACCGGTCAGCCCAGGCCTGTGATTGTGTGTTTTTGTTCAGGAGATCCTGTGTATTTCTCGGTTCAAAACCACAAGGTCATCAACTCACAATCCCTGGGGATCGCTATTCCATCGCTGAGCCAAAAATATTCTTATTACCAGCATCTTGGGATCTAATTGGTCATGATATTTTGGCCTGAGTCAAGGCCGGTGTTTTTTTTTAATTCTAAGCTTGAAGAGAATGTTTTCTATGTAAGTGGACCATAGCATTAGCAGCGGTATTTATTTATATATTTGTTATATTTTTTCCCCCTATATTTTTTTTATTACTCATCCGATGCACGTTGATATTCTTGAGTATCATGGTCAGAGCACGTCTCCTCCACGTTGAAGTAATTAGAACTAAGTAGGCAAATATGTGACGCCGAACATGGAATCTTTTTGAGATGACCGCTCTGGTTGTCGCCAAGTTTACATTAGCGTGGGATACGACGATGAATCCTTCTCCTTGTAAAGCTTTAGCTGCCGCTGCTGCCGCGCGTGCACGCAGAGACGTGCGCCCAGCGATGAGGCAAATGCGTATCACATGGTCATCGCGAAACTCATAAAGGGCACGGTTATGCAGAGAAAGCTCGGCGAATTCCTCATTCTGCGGGCTAAAAAAAACAAATCCACACACGTCGCTTCGTTGATTCGTCCCTACTTTTCACGGATTCGTATTCTCTCGTGCTGTTTGTGATTAGAAATAAGGCGTTATTGTTATTATTGTCACCACCAAAGTTGTTTTCGTAATCTTCTTCGACAGCAGCGTTGTCACCGGGCAATTTGCGACAACCCCTGCATAAACGCCTTGTTCTGTGTGGAAATCATCAACTATTGTTATACTCGCATATTTACTGATATCAACATTTTATCCCCACTCCCCCCCCCATAACAAAACTTTGGATGCCCCCTAATTTACGCTCTCTTGCTGGCCGCTCCGTCTCTACGACGTGGACTCTGCCCAAGGCCCGCGTATTATTCTCGCGACAGCTGATGGGATGTGGACTGGGCAAATGAGTGACCAACTCTCTCAGGCCTTCGACGCCTTTTGGATCCCTGTGGCTGAGCTCCCGCGTCCCGAGGGCCCCCCGGCATCTGCCTCTTGTCCAAACTCAATGCCCGGTGCCACTGCTTGTGCGACGCAGCGGTTGCAGGACATGCCACCCTGTGGAAGACACTCCGCTGAACCCGCACCGCGCCACGCGCAGCTTCTCAATAAGCCGAGGCTCAGTGGAAGAGCGAGTGGCGCGCAGTCGGAATGCTCGTTTTGGGGGTTCACTCGTCTCATCATCCCTCCGGCGTCGATAAAAACAAGTACCACTTTGCGGGATATTCATCAGTGGTTGTTCTGTGGGTAGACTCGCCCTTGCCATGGCAATGTGGAATGTCCGCTTTAAGCAGTAGATGATCACCGCTTCAACGCTTACGTGAGCAGGAGACCACTTTAACTTGGTTTGGCACTGGCCGGGTATAGGTTGGGGGCTTTATGCCAAATTTCCTCCAACCACCTTGGCTTCTTGTAAACAGGTTGCCCTGTCAGGTTACCTGAACTCCACGCAACAGCAACGATCGGTCGTTTTTGTTTCCTTTTAGCTAGTTTTTAAGCACAATCCATCTCTCTCTGCCGCTCGACCACACCTGGTATACAGGAGGGCATGGGTTCGATCCCAACCCTGACACCTGCTGTATATTTGGAGTTTGCACGTCTTTCCCCGTGGTTGCGTGGATTTTTTTCTCCGGGTCCTCCGGTTTTTTCCCTATAAATGTCCACACGATGCGCCACTTTGTTGAGCTATCATTTGTGGCCCAGGTCGCTTCGGACATCGAGCCATGTAGTTCAGTGGGCCTACTCCCGGTAAAGCAGGAACGGTGATGGTGAATAACCAAAGCGTGCCGCGTGAGTCTGTGCGTGCGGCGCGCTCGCTCCAGTAGTTCGGCGTAAGTCGGTCGGTGAGCCTCGCCGTAGCGACCCGTCTCAAGAGACTCTCTCCTCCCCCGGTCGCAGCGCCGATGTTGAGAATCCATCTTTATTTTTTTTGACAGCGTGCGCTGTTACTCCCCCTGGTTTTTTTTTTAAGAAGGAGAGAGAGAGAATGATTTATTGAATTAGGTCTTTTGACGTGCATGTTACCGAGGTTATGAGTAACCTTCATTCATTGTGCACCTGGGTAACTCCCCCACCCCCCCCCACCACCACCACCGCCACCAGAACAGGAAGAGCAATGCGCCCTCTGCCATCACTCGTCTAACGCCATCCTCACGGGGGGGGGTGGCGGGGGAGGTTCCTCAATTCCCGCGTAATTGCCAGGACGTCAACCCATCTGCCCACAGCCTGGCCCAACTTTTTCCCAGCTTCTGCCGCGCGTAGCTTGCGTGAAACGCAATGAGACGGCTACCAGATAGGCGGTTGACAGCTGCTTTTG